ACATACCACTGTGCCACTGGGGGGCTTCACTTTGCTAAACCACAATTAAGAAAAATTAAAACAAGTCAATAATTTTATCATTCAAAGTATTACAACTATTTCAAATCCTACAGATATTAAGATATGCTCAACAACTTAAGACTTCAAAACATTTTTGTAAACAAGTATTAGCATATTTGCCTTTATAAAATAAAGACAACCAAATTACTCTTTCCATAGAAATAAAACAATTAATAATACTAAATAATTGAAAACAAAACCTTATCTCCTGATATATTATAGACACTATAACCAAATAAAAATAGCAGCAAGAATTCCCAAATGATGAATCAACACATTCTAATAATTATAAGTTTTATGACACTGTATATTCCTAGTTAGACCAATATGTTGAATTAACTAAACAGTTTACTGAGTGAATTTTTAGTTCTGATCAATAAATGTAGCTTGCTTATAGCAGAAGTTATTGCTAATATACATTGTTATCAAAGCACTGTCCCATCATTGATAAATTCTCTCTCTCTCTTTTAAACTAAAGATAGTCGCATCGATCTCCCATACATATAACTCAATCAGTTATCAAGAAGAATTGAATAAACTTTTTAATTTCTAAGGGCTGACAAAAATCTATACCTAATCAACTAGTTTACCAATCTGTAATTAAAGATTATAAATATATATTTAACATTTTTTTTACAATATATACATTTTGTTCTCAAAATTTCTGTTCCAAACATAAATGGTTATAACATGTCAGGGGTATTATTAAACAAGATTTAAGTACCTATATTATGCATATAAAAAAATGGCAAAATTCTGGGTTAAATTGTGGGACAATTTCAACCTTCAAATTCTATTTTAAATTTTAACTCGGAACATGAGCAACTCTAAAACTAGTATCATGCAGACTTAGTTGGAACAAGTATGATCTCAGTATAGAAAAACAAGGAACACAATATCAAAATAAAATATAGTGTTGGCTTGGCCACTTAATCATCAAAATCATGTCTATGTGGTACTGTAAAAAATCAACAGTCCAACTAACTGAAGGATCTTTTTAGAATATTTGAGGAAGAAGCATAAATATTGAAAAATAAAGTGTTGTAAATTAACTTAAATACTAGCCTGAACTTTAGGTCTTCTTGAAATAAATCATATAGAAATAAAAATAGGCTTACTTTTGTAAATTCTTGCAGAAAAATAACCAGCTGGTGTGCCCAAACACACAAACAAAACCTGAAAACAATAAAGGAATTTGAAGAATACTCTTAGATGTTAGCTGAAGTGTTATGAGCAAACAAACTATGGTAAAATAAAACACAAATTTTAAACTTCTATTATATATATTATATTTCAACACTTAATCCTCATCTGTGTCTTATCACCTGCCCAAGACTATTTATTTATAAGTCAAGTTAAATACCAAGTTGAAGATAAACTATTATCAACTTTTCACTAAATAGATACATATGCACTTACTAGTAATGTTAACACACTACAAGAGGTTTTATTCCCACTATATATTCAGTTGCATATTCAAACTACCATCATATCTTGTGGTTTTTTTCTCTATCACGCTGTTACATTCTGACTTGAATTTTTCTTCATACAAATAACTTTACCAATCAATTAACTATCATCAACTAAAATTTTGGTTTAATGAAAGTTGTACATTCAAAAGTAAAAGTGTATTGAAAGCATTAATATCACTAGATAAACTGGGAATAAAACTTAATAACAAGAAAATAAAAGGTGATAAAAAACCAAGATTACAGTTGATGTCAATTTTATTCTAACATTAAAAGCAGCAGTAAAGTTTTTAGAAACTCTAATAACTGGCTTCCCACTATTAGTAGAAAGTCTGTTGTTGAGCACATAGCTATCTGCACTGTGCTCACCTCAGGGATCAAACCCAAACTTTTAGCATTATAATTATTAGTATGACAGAAAAAATGTATATATTATGCAAGATTTATCTATTTTCATCTTTGTAATCAAATTACCTTGAAAGCACTTAGATTTGCTGATGTACCGAAATATATATTTATGTAGATAACTAAAGCAAGTTGGTAATTTTAATTTTTGTGAAATACAAATAACTTTACTGCCTTAGTTCTTACAAGATACTAATAATATATAAAATATATATATATATATATATATAATATACTAATAATAATATATATTTATGTAGATAACTAAAGAAAGTTAGTAATTTTAATTTTTGTGAAATACAAATAACTTTACTGCCTTAGTTCTTACAAGATACTAATAATAATTTTTGAAAAAAAGTTCTCTTAAAATTTCTGAAAAAAATTGTAATTATCTTTTATTCCATTTTAACACAAACTGAAAGTCAAAATAGTCATTTACTAGATAAAAAAACCTTTACTACCACATATAATGGTTTATGCTAAACCTAAAAGACAAAACAGTGAATGCTAATTATCTTACTTTTCTATTTATTATAAGATGGCAATTTAGAATTAGTGTATTTAAGTAAAGCTGAGCAGCAGCAATGAACAGTCTGATTATTTAAAACTATACAAGTGGTTTACAGCTTACAGATTAAAAAAACACACCATTGCACAAGTCATTAAAGCTCCTCTATTAGCTGGAGACAAGAACCCAAGACAGGCAAAAACTACAAAACAAAGAAACAGTAATTAGGTGAGTAACAATACAGGAAAAAAATTACTTTAATATTCTAAATTAATGAAATGATAAATTTTAAATACAATGTACACTAGTTTTATAAATGTTCATCTTTCTCACACACAAAATTAAAGTTACAATAAAGCATTCAACAAAATAACACGAGTAGTAATTTATGACACCAACTGTTCCAAGATAAGTTTTTCTATCACTTGATCTAGTTGAGAGAAAATTATATTCATGGAAATCAGATTTTAACCAAAACCACATAAACTCCAGGCGCCCATTTCATTTGAACAATAAAAAAAAGAAAGAAATCCTGAATTTTGAAAGATATATTAAATTGTAACTCCTTTTTTGATAATACTTGTAAATCCTAGATCTTTGTATAACTATCAGTATCTCTCAACCTTCACATCTGGAACCACTTATACTAGGTACTCTACACAAAAAATTCTTCATTCTGATTACTTTAAGATATTCGATTAGTTACACATTATTTATGAAATCACTAACAAGGATCTGTTGGAGATTTTAATTATTCAACAAAGGCAAAGTAGTATTTGAACTATTTCATAATTTTAACACAGTTCAATGAAACTAAAATCCTGTTTAGCTTTCTTCAAATCATTATTCATCTTTAGATCACATGTGTGAGCTACATTTGAATGTGATACAGTACTATGAATAATTACAGTATCTCCAACATATTATTTTATACACAATATCACTAAACCAAGACAGCTTTAGTACCTCTATTTTTCTGCAAAAACAATAGCAAGTGATAATTTACTAAAATGTAGAGAAAGGAATCCATGTCATGACAAACTTTCCTGTCTCCTAAGAACACAAATTAACTATTTTTTTTCCATACAAAAATGAAAAGTAGTAATTTAATGACACCTACAGAGAGTAATTAGTGTCATGAAGAAAACTTGTACGCCACTGCCTAGGAACACAGATAGTAACATTCCTTTTCTAGGAGGACGAAAAACGTCACCATGAACCAACTTCCATCCAAACTCTTCTTGTGCATCATCCTATAAGCGTGTGTTACAAACAAATGACCGAGGTCAGCAATTATAATGTATACTCCTAAAAGTCATAAAATCATTAACATTCTGTAAAGATCACAACAATTTTTTTTTAATTCCAAAAGGGACTTTAGTCATGATGTTTTAAAACTTTTATCTAAAGATAAACTTGAAAATACCTTTCTCACACTTTCATACAAGTTCAGTATATTTTCAATATCACATGAAAAGTATAGTTTCATATTTGTTGCAGCATAGCAAGATAAGTTGCATACTTAACAAAAAGAAAAATCAAACTATGAAATAAAAACTAATTGCTATTTCAAATTACAAGCTGTTCATTAAAATATTTCTAACAACAACAATAAAATTTCATAATGTTTCACTACATGTAGCTCCTCAAATTGCTGAAGGTGCACCTGTGAACTTCATTAACCATACAACTGTAGCTAAACAAATTAAAAAAAGTTAAGTTATTGCTAACATGGTTAAGTAAGAAAATTATGAACTAGCAAATTTTAACAAGTATTTTTTTTGAGATTTCTTACATACCTTACTTTATTTGAATCCATTAAAAACAAGTAGAATAGTAATATTATTATACAGTTATAATTAATATTAAAATATAGTAAAGAAAAAAAACCAATAACCAAAAAATTAACCTCGGTATCCCTGATTAACTGAGCTACCAAACACTACAAACTGTCCTAATTAATTTTCACTTATAAAGCCTATACACTATGAGTAGAATCACATACTATGTTATGATACATAAAAAGGTCAAATCATAGAAGTCTATCACAGATTTAAGCAAACAAAAGTGAGAGAAAAAGTTTTAATGTCTGGCATTTATCATATGTTAAAGATCTGTACCTACCCCAGAGTCTATCTGATTATAACGAGCAATATCTTTATGTAGAGTACGGAGAAGAATCATAGCAACCATGCCAGTCAGAAAGAGGACAATTACCAATGAGTTCAGAATACTGAAATTAAAACATAAAGTACCAGTCATTAAAACAGTATTGAATAAAAGTTTCACTTCAGTGAAAAATAAAAAAAGCCTAATTTTCATGCAAGAAATTTAACTTAATCCTACAGTATTGAACAAAGGTCAGATAAGAGCATTAGAAAAGATGATGTTCAGTTCAATATAAGCAAAACCAGGCCTTTAATTCCTACAATTTTTTTTATTCCTCAACTCATGAAAAAACAACTGTTAGAAAAGAGAGTGAAGACTGAAATATGTATTAGTATATTTTGCTCTGCAGTAAAATTTTCTATATATTCTTTGCTTGATTTGGTTTGTTATACATTTTGCGCAAAGCTACACGAGGGCTATCTGCACTAGCCATCCCTAATTTAGCAGTGTAAGACTAGAGGGAAGGCAGCTAATCACCACCACCCACTGCCAACTCTTGGGCTACTCTTTTACCAACAAATACTGGGATTGACCATCACATTATAACACCCCCACAGCTGAAAGGGCAAGCATGTTTGGTGTGATGGGGATTCGAACCCGCGACCCTCAGATTGCGAGAGTCAAGCGCTCTACCAACCTGGCCATGCCGGGCCTCTTTGCTTGAAATTTCACATCTCTGATTACCTAAATTTATTTAATTACAGCTAAGATTTAACTATTTTTTTCATTTCACAAATTACCTGAACTTTTAATCAATTTTCATATTTTATTCCCACACAAGAGAATACTACTACAATAAAGGCATGAATCAATTACTAAATCAAAGTCAATATACATACAATGTATGCGTTATCCCACACTTACATATTCCAAGTTTATGATAAAACTTTTTTTAATTTCTGCTAACATCTCCTTTGGCACATACTTCATTTAATTCAGAGAAAATATAATACAAGTAATCTGTGAACTATATAAACTTCATTTAATATAATGCTATTTGTGCTAAATTAATTTATGAAAGAGAATCTTAAATATTTTTCTTGTCTAAAAATGCAATGAGATCCAATGCTTTCTTATACTATGCAATTTTCAAGAGTACACAAAATAAAGACTACATATACTTCCTTACACATTTCATATAAAAGAATATATATATAAAAAGAACTTTAGTTTCCACACTTTCAGCAGAAAAAAGAATTCAAGAATAATTTCAGATTTTCTAGAATATTCTAAGAACTATTTCTTAGAATTTCTAGCATAAAATAATTCAATTTATAAAAATTTAAATGAGAGGCAAATTTCATAATATATTTTTCAAATGTTTTGAGTTCATAACACTTGCAGATCTAAGCAGAGGAACTTCACCTTCCCTCAAAACCAACAAGCCTTCTATATCCACACTGCATGAATGACAACCTCTGGATTCATAAGTAATATAAATGAATTATTTGCAATAAGGTTAATGGTGTGACTTGTTTCAAAATATTTAGCGTCATAGGTTTAGCAATATTTTTTCTATACAAATGCAGTACTTCAACTAATATTTCCTAACCCCATCCTCCCAAGTTTCAATAGAGATTCTGGCAGTGTCATCAAGTGCTGTTCTTAGCACATGATTTTCAACGGACATTAATCAAAAAAAAGAAGAAACATAGATAGATTTAACATTTTAAAATGCTTTCTGGCCAATTGATTTATCAAAACAAGTATTATGAATTGTCTAGCTATGTAATTTCTTGTTAATCCAAACACAAGAACAGTCTTTTAAACACATTCCCATGGTGTTTTTACTTTAACATGCCTATATTGTGCAAAGTTCTATTTATAGCCTCAAAAATCCCTAAAGCATTAATGATAAGTATTGCTGATTAAACAAAGTACGAATAACACGGAAGCCAAATTTATAATAACTTTGTTTTGGGTCTATGTGTTTGATTTATGCACTAAATATTTAGCTGATTCCTCTGTTAAGCTATAGTTAAAGTTTCCCCAAGCAGTCTCCAGACACATTGAAAGCAGAATTAGTTTAAACCTGACTATCATAACATCAAGGCCAAGCTATCAAAATATTGCTGTTAAATACAATTGTTACTACAACCATCAGTGCCCTAACACTCTACTGTAAGTGTTACATTAGAAGAGTAGTTTGAAATGTACCTCACAAATACTTGTATAAAGTCAACACAGTATGCATGGATGGTATGTCACAAATATGTGCACAAATTTGGCACCATTTAAATTTTGGCACAGTCCCCACTGTATGGCAGTTTCTGATTGGATCAAGCTGTAGATATGTTTTGATCATGCAATCTGACAAAGATACACAATGTTAGAACCTAAGCTAACTGATGCCTAGGCAAACAATGTGTAAATGAAATGATATCAGTAAGCAAAGGAACACGACACTACAAACTCTTACATTTCTTACATTTTTATTTTCCCAAATATTATGTGGAATTCCTGCTAAAAAAAAACATGAACATTTCCAGAGCAAGAAATTCTTAAATATTTCCCAATTACGAGAATGTGTGGGAACTCCAAATAAAGAGAAGCCTTTACTTACTAACTCCAGTAAATCTGAAGATATAACTAAAATTTGACTTCTTACCTTTGTAAAATTATATCAAAAACTAAGAATTGGATATATTCTTACAATACAGTTAAATAGTTGAAACAGTGATCAAAATTAAATGACTTAGGTGAAGATAAGAACAGATAAATAAAAAGCAACAATATTTTTAATGTCTGGCAATTTGTTTACCATATTTTACTGATCTGTATCTACCCCAGAGTCTATCTGATTATAACGAGCAATATCTTTATTTATATATATATATACACACACAGACACACACACACACACACACACACACA